CTTAATTTTTTAAGTTAGTATAGTTTCATATCCTAAACTGTAAACATCTAAATAAATTTGTGTATTTCCTTCAGAATTTAGTTATTTAATTCTCCAACGAACACATACCATTTTATAAAGAATAAAAGTAGCGCAGTCAGTAGAATTTCCAATTAGAAAAAGTAAAGCCTTGTTTTAATCGATTTTAATCGTTAATTGGAAAATTGAAGGATTAGTGACTTAGTATTTGAGTTCTAAGTGTAAGGCCACGAGGAAGGAAAACTGAAGGAACCCGTAAGCAACTTCGAAGAATTCCAAGTGTAAGGCCACTTGTTGTGTAAAGCCACAAAGTAATTCGAAAGTTCTGGGGAGGCGCAACTAGCAACTTCGGGAAATCTTCTCAACCAGCTTCAGTGAAAAGCCACTTGACCCTGTAAACGGTGAAGCATTTCCACAGAAGAAGCAACAACATCTCGGCTACCATACCGACTACATACAGTTTACAATTTCGACCAGTTCCAGTGTAAACCCAGTTGATCCAGAAGATACAACGTTCTCCACCCGTTCTCTACCCGTTCCAGTGTAAATCCACTTGATCTGAGACGCTGCAACGTTTTCGACCCGTTCCGGTGTATAGCCATGTTCTCACGGAAGTATTTGAGGTTAGTCGAATTATATTAATTTTTTATTTGTTTTCATTTTTTTTTATTTACTCTGTTTCGCAATTTTCAAACTTTCAAGCTATCATATCTAGTATTTGCATTTTTTTTATTTGTTTAATTTATTTTTGTTAATAAAATAGCAACTAACGACGTAACAGCAACTACGCCAATAATTTCCGCTACCACCTCTAATAATTATATTAATTGTGACAAAGCTATCAAGCGTATAAATGTTTTTGAAGGGTCTTCTTCAAAATTCACTTTAAGCAAAGTTATAATAAAAAACCTACAAATTTCGTTGATAGAATTGAAAAACAATTAATAAGAATCAATAAAGTTATCAAATACGATTCAAATTTGAACGATGTTGAGAAAAAATGTTTAAATAATTTTCACAGTAAGACTGCAATTCTGACCGCTATTACGGGCATAAAAGAACCTTTGTGTCAAATGCTTCGCTCTTTAAATCCTAGTTCGTTAATTCAAATTAAGCAAATTTTAAACGATTATGAAAACCAACAATATTTCAAACAAACAATTCCAAACATAAATCCACCAATTAAATTAACCATTTCAAAGTGCAGTGTTTGCCATAAATATGGACATAAAGCAGAAAAATGTTATCCTAAACCACAATCTCACAATGTTGTTCATAATACCTATTGCGACAACGATAGTTCAGAAAAAGAAATAGAAATCGAAGTTGATCAGGATGTTTTTAGAGCAAGTGCCGCTGACAACGTTACAGTTTACCAAGTAGCAAATAAACCGCTTCTTTACGCGCATATTAAAAATTTGAATATAAAATTATTAATTGATTCAGGGGCAGCTATATCAATATTGAAACCAGGTAAAATTTTAGACTCTTATCACTTTAATCATGAAAATTTTAAAATATTTGGTATTGATAACGAACCAATTCAAATTACAAAGAGCGTAAACTTTAAGTTATTTTCGGGTGTTCAAAAATTCTATATAGTAGACAAATTCTCCTTTTGATGGAATACTTAATTATTATTTTGTAGAAAAGAATAAATGTGTTATTGACTTTGGTTTAAATACTTTATTTGCTAATCGTGAGGAAATCCCATTGTTTCTATCTGATCAGGAACATAATATACTTAGTGTAAATAGTATACACGAACATCAAGTCCGAAGTAATAATGTTATCAACTTAACCGAAAAAATCGATACTGTTGTAAGTAAACTAGAATCAGACGCTCTGTCAAGAAATCGATTAAACCCTGTCTCTCAAAAACAAAATCAATATACCGAATTTGAGAATATTAAAACTAACTTAAATTTAAATAACTTTACCTACTCTAATGAGCAAATCTTAGACGTTAACAATAAGAATATTTTATATCTATACGATGAGAATGACAGAAATGTAAATCATTTCGAAATAATCAATGATAATTTTCCCACTGTTGGTGACTCGGATTTTGAAGAAATATTAAAGTTATATAACGAAAATCATAGTAGAGAGATTACTATAGTTAAAATTAAACCACACCATTGCCTTGAGAATTTTAATACTTTGAAAAAACTAATATTAGTTCGAAATAAAACTTATTGCATACCTTATTTTGAAAGTAATATTTATTATAAAATGCTCAGTTTCTTACTTTATAATTTGTAAAAATATCGTTACTATGCCGCCTGTAGAAGATAGGCAAAGGATAATTTTCGAATTTCATAACGACCCGGGTAATTATCACAAAGGAATTAATGAAACTGCAGACAAAATTCGACAACTTTATAAATGGAAAAATATCTATAGAGAAATAACCGAATTTATTACTTTATGCCGTACTTGTCAACTCTCAAAATTTGATCGTAGGAATCGTAGTGAAGGTTTAAATGTAAGGCATTCTCCGGAGAAACCATTTGAAGCTTGAACTGTAGACCTGTTCTTTTTTGATAAACAAAAAATGCTTACCGTTATAGATAATCTAACAAAATTTACACAAGCGTATATTTTAACTGTAAAAACCAAGAAATGATAATTGGTAAATTAAAAATTTATTTTTCGCTTTTCGGCCTTCCTAAGATGATTATGTCAGATCACAGGGGTGAATTTAATAATAAAAAGGTGCAAAGTTTTATTAATTCATTGAATATCGAATGGCACCTTACTTTGTCTGAGTACCATGCCTCTAACGGTATAATTGAGCGCTTCCATGCTACCATAACATATACATACCTTGCGAAGTTATCTTTTAGAACATAACCAGTGCGACTTAGAATATGCACTTTTAGTCGCTATACACTCATATAATTCTAGTAAACATCCACTACACCTATAGTTTAGTATTTCCATATAAAAATAATAGAGAATTTGATGAAATTTCGTATAATAATCAGTTAGAAAATATAAGGGAAAATCAATGCGATCAAAGGAAAAAGTAAAAGAACCGTTTTGATAACTTAAGAACGAGCAACTTGGAAGTAAAGTATAAAGTTGGAGATAAAATTCTCTTAAAAAGACCAAGAAATCCAAATACACCAAAATCGGTATTAAATACAGGACCATATGTTGTTCTTGAAGTCATTGAAACCAATAAAACTCTAAAAATTAGGTTAGATAACGAGGTTATTCGAAAATTTCATTTTAATAATGTAAAACCATTTTATGATGCGACTAACTAAACGAAGTTGAAGTATAACACGGCAAATAGTAGATATGACCTTTCATTATCCATATTATAAACGGATTTTAATCAATAATAACTGCAAAATATAATTCGATTACCTTGTGGTACACTTCATCTACGACCTTCTCATAATAACAAAAGTAGAATGAGTTATTGCCGGTTGGTTTTTTTTGTTCCATGTAGCCCTACCTGCCCTGTGCGGAGTATGTCTAGAGAGGCGCCAAAACTTCGAAGCTGCAAAAGATCTTCTTGACACCCCAACTTTGGTCTTCAGGAGAGAGGTGTTATGGCGAGCAAGCCACTATGTGTGTGTGTGTGTGTGTTTTATGTTTATATTCAAGACTCCTTCGGAGATGATAAACACCCACGCCGAGATAAGTGTTTACGTTATTATCAAGAACTATGAGAGGTTTTTTAGATATAGTTTGTATTTCTTAATTTCTTAAGTTAGTATATTTTCATACCCTAAACTGTAAACATCTAAATAAATTCGTGTATTTCCTTCAAAGTTTAGTTATTTAATTCTCCAACGAACACATACCATTTTATAAAGAATAAAAGTCGCCTAATCTCTTTTGCTGAGGTATTTAATTTAAATGTGCAAATATTGTACAATTAGGTTCCGATCGCTTTATAGACTCTCTTTCTTCCTCCCTCCCTCTCTCTCTATATCTCTCTTTCTCTCTATTTTTCTCTATTTTTCTCCAATGGCGCTACAACCCAAATCGAACATTGACCTCCTCCAAACTATGCCACCAACCTTGCCGGCCATACGCCGATCTTCCCCAGGTCTAGCAAATTTTGCGTGTCCAATGCCACTGCATCCTTTCACCTTTTCCGTGGCCTTCCTTTTGGTCTTGCTCCCTGCATTTTATTATCTAGGGTTTTTTTTCAATTTTCCGGTCTCTAATCTCACTACATGACCAACCCATCGAAGTCTCTGAAGTTTAATGAATTCTGAGATCGGTGCCTCTTTGAAAAGTTGGTAGAGTTCATTATACCTGGATCTCCAAACTCCGTTTTCGTTAATGGGTCCAAATACCTTTACTACCACTTTTCGTTTAAAGACTTTAGAAGACACAAAACGAAAGCTGAAAGTCTTCGAATGTCTTCGACTGTTTTTTGGATACCAGACTGTTAGTTCCTTATTACCGCTATGGGTTCATAACCTTCGTTATGAACCCATTTCAAGGTCCGTTGATAAATAGAACCGTTTTTATTATAACAATAATGCATGGTTTCAATATGAACTACTTGTTCACTCGTCGACATAGTTGTCATTAACAACTGCCAACCCTTAGCACAAAAAAATTGAATATAGAATTGCAATAAACTACAACTAAATTTCATAAAGTCGTCTTCAAATTATATTTTCTTTATAACAATTTTAATGCCCAGATTAAAAATTATCCTCGTTAATTAATTTTAGCGTTTTCCCCATTGGATTTATTAAATTTTCCATTTATGTTATATTTTTAATATTTAGGATAAACTCCGTCTTTTAGTGCAAGGTTCAACATTTTGTAAATTACTTAAACATGGGGAACCCCAATATAAATAAACACAAGTATATACATTTTGCCATTAAATGCAGAAATTTAAATTCAGTGATAAACTTTGACACCCGTTTTTCTTATCAAATAAATCGAAATAATTTTATCTTTGCAAAGCAGGCCAAGATCATTTAAAGAGTAATTATTGTCATGAATTCACTTACTCTTTTTGTCTTTTGATAAAAGTATGAGTACAATGTTAAGGTTGCAAAAAAGTCATTTTTGTGTGACAGTTTGTTTAATAATATTTATAGAAAAAGCTTTTGCACATTATGAGTATGTAGTATTTAGAGATGGCACAGGTTCAAGACCCCCGATTGTTAAAAGGGTAAGTTTTATTTATGAATCTTATTCTTATTTGTATAGATATGTATAAAGACATAAAGTCGCTACTATGTTAAAACGTTCAAAAATATAAAAATTCATTAAATGTTTTTTAATAACAAGAATATTGAAATAGGTAAAAAAAACGAAAAGACTTCCCATTGTATTATAATTTGTATAATCCGTTTCGGAGTGTATAATTTTAGCCCATCGTTAGGTTTTTTTTTATTATAACTAATAAATTAACAATCAGAATAAAACAATGTATTCTATAAGTAAATGTGATGAGTTTATGTCCTGTCCCTTGGTTCTGGAGTAATGCTGTTCCCTCCAGTGAGAGAATCACGGGTCCATGTTACTGGTCTGTTGGCCAACGTCGCTTTAGTCTTCTGATAACTCGATGTTGAGGTATTGCGGAAATTAATGGATTAGAGTGTGTGGTCACTTTTTAAATGTATTGTAATTTCTTTTGTTGGTATACTTCTTTCACAGTTAAGATATTGAGATCCTCATAGATTCTTTGATTGGTTACGTACCAGGGTGCATCAACAATTGCTCTTAAGATTTTTGATTGGCATCTTTCCATAATAGCAATATTAGATTTACTACTACAGCCCCACAGCTCTATGCCATATTGGTTTGATAACTGTTTTATAAATTAGAATTTTGTTATTTATTGACAGTTTGGAGTTTTTTCCAATTAACCAATTAATTTCTATTTGTCTTAGTTGTATTTGTTTTCTTTTTCTGGTGATGTGTTCTTTCCAACACAGGGTTTGGTCCAGGTGTAGCCCTAGGTATTTGGTTGTTTTAGTCCTGGGTATTTCCTCATTGTTAATATATATTGGTGGTAGTGTTTCTCGTCGTAAAGTGAAAGTTACGTGGGTTGACTTGTTTTCATTTATTTTTATTTTCCATTGTTTTAGCCAGTTTTCAAGCTCATACAAATAGTCTTGGATTTGTTGTGTAGCTATGTTAATGTGTTTGTGACTTGTAAGTGCTACTGTGTCATCTGCAAATGTGCCAATTATTACTTTATGTGAAGTTGGTAGATCAGAAGTATGTAATATATATAACAAAGGTCCCAGGACGCTGCCCCGTGGAATTCCCGCCTTAATGGGATGCATTTTAGATATTTCTCCATTTACTTTTGTTCTAAACTGTCGGTTTTCCAAGTATGATGTAAGTATTCGAAAGAATGGTGGTAATATTTGTTTAATTTTATAAAGAAGGCCTTTATGCCAAACCTTATCAAAAGCTTGACGTACATCTAGTGATACCATTGGGCAATATTCCTTTTCTTTTAATGCGGAATTGATTTTATGGGTTATTCGGTGGCATTGCTGGATAGTTGAGTGTTCTCGTCGAAATCCAAACTGAAAATTTGATGTACAGTCTGCGCCTGTAAGGTCTGGATCTATTCTTGTTATTAAAAGTTTTTCTAGTAATTTGCAGATTGTTGATAACAGACTGGTAGGTCGATAGGATGAGACTTCTCTTGGATCCTTTCCTGGTTTTGGGAATAAAAGTATTTCTGCAATTTTTAGGTTGTTAGGTCAATAATTACATCTTAATATTGCGTTAAATATATATGTAAGGATAACTATACCTTTTTTTTGGAATTCTTTTAGCATTTTCTGGTGACTTTTTGATATTTAGTCTTAAGATTTCTTCTTTAAGTTCTTTGGGTGTTGTTAATTTTATTGGATTTACTGACGGTTGTTCTGAGATTAAATAATTAATAATTTCTTGATCTTCCTCATTGTTGTTTGGTTGGAATATTGTTTCTAAATGTTCAGCAAATAATTCGGATTTTTCTTTATCGCTTCTTGCCCATTGGTTCTGTTTGTCTGTGGTTTTTCTTACTGGTGGCGATATTGCTTGAAGTTTAAACGATGATTAGGTTGGTTTCCATATTGAATGGTCGTATCTATTAAGTTGTGTTACATATTTTTTGACTGATTCTTCTCTTGCAATTTTTAGTTGTGTTTTTAATTTATTGGCTAAGCGATTGTAAAACGTTTTATCCGATGGGTTCCGACTTTGTTGCCATTTGGCTCTTGCTCTTCTTTTTTCAGCAATGAGTTTTTTAATTTCTAGTGGAATATTTATTCTATTCTCAATTTTATTTTTATCTGCATCGTTCGGTGTCGCTTCTTTTGCAGCGTTTTGTAATAATGTCAAAAGGTTGCTAGTAGCTGCTTCTATTTCTGAAGGGCTTCTTAGTCTTACATTTAGTTTAATGTTTTCATCCAGTATTTTTCGGTAAACGTTTCAATCTGTTCTAGGTCCATGCAGTTTTGGAGTAGGTTGTTTGTTAATAACGCAGGTGCTAATTGTTGCAATAATTGGTAAATGATCTGAAGATAGATCATAACTTGGAACTATGTCCATAAAGGTGTTAGATATTCCTTTTATGATGCAAAAATCTAAGAGGTCTGGTCTTTTTTGGGTTCTGTTGGCCAATACGTTGGTGTTCCTGTTGATAAATATGAATATTTATTTTCTTGCATCAAGCTTTATAGCTCTCTCCCCTTTGTTGTTATTAATCTTGATCCCCAGTAAGTGTGTTTACTATTAAAGTCACCAGCTGCGATAAATTTTGGACCCAGAGTATTAAAGAAAGATCCGAAATCGGTTTTTTAATTATTGTGCTTTGGAGGGCAATATACTGCTGCTATTGTTATTTCGTGAGGTAATAAGCACACTTTAATTACTGTAGCTTGGATACAGTCTCTTATATAAATTTCCATCATGAAATGTTTAATTGATTGTTTGATCAAGATTTCTGTACCTCCATGGGCTGTCTTGTCTGGATGGTTAGTATGGTACGTTAGATAATGAGGTATTTTAAAATACGATTTGTCTGTAAAATGTGTCTCACTTATTATTAATACATCTATAAAATTTTGTAGTAGAAATATTATCACCTCGTCCTTATGATTCAGCAGGCCATTGGCGTTCCATTCTGCTATTCGTAGAAAGAATTTTATTTTGCATACCAGTTTACTTAGCATGTTTATTACCATGCTGTTTCGTTGCAAGGTTTGATTAAACATGGCTTTGAATTCTTCTAAAAACTTCATAAGAATGGTGTTTGAATCTTGGTTATCTGAAGGAGCAGCAGGGGGTTGTCTATTACTCGCTGCATTAGCATAGCTTACATTTGGTCTTACTGTGTTGGGTATAAAGTTTTTTTTTTTATTTAGAAAATTGCATCGACCAAATGGCCATTAGCGAAAAATTAATGGATTACATTATGTACAATTACTGCATTACAATTTGGTTTATTATTAAATATTGTGGTACTTATTAATGTCTTTCAAGAAATTCAAAGTATTTTTAAAGTTACAGTCTGCACCTAGAGCTTCTAGAAGTGTTCCTGGTATCTTGTTGTTACTTCATTGTTGATTGTAGAGGGGACATTCACATAGTATGTGCCTTATTGTTAGTGTCGTATTACACGTTTCACATCGCGGCGGTTCGCACTTTTTAATTAAGTAATCATGCATTAACCTAGTATGTCCGAGTCTGAGGCGTGTTACTATTATTTCTTGGCTTCTTGACGTAGGTAATACATTCCATGCCTCTATGCTGGGTTTCACTTGTTTTAATTTTGAATTCGACACATTCCATTTATTTTTCCACGCACTTAAGATTGATTTTTTTATATATCCGTTGATACCGATGTGTTTATGATTTTGGAAACGTCACTATCGCGTCTTTCGCACTATGGTCAGCAGTTTCGTTGCCTTTTATTCCTATATGGGATGGTATCCAGATGAAATTAACCTCATTTTGATTGATATAAGCCTGAACAAGGACCGTCTTAATTTTTTTTAAAAGCGGGTTTTTTGGATACAGTTGTCGAATGCTTTGTATGACACTTAGTGAGTCTGATAGGATAATATATTTGCAGTTTGTTGTTAGATTGATTAGTTTTATGGCGTGATAGAGAGCATACAGTTCAGCTGTATAGATAGTACTAACATTACATAGTTTGAATTTAAGGACCTTCTCTGGAGTTACTACAGACGCTCCCACACCTTCAGATGATTTTGAACCATCAGTGTAAATCTGGGTATGATTTTTATAACGACTAAGGCTTTTTCTAAAATGGGAAATAATTAAATCATGATTAGTGGAGTTTTTATCAAATGAAGTAAGTTCAAAGTTATATGATGGTATGTTTTGAATCCAAGGTGGATTATGGTCATATGTGTATGGAAGACATTCAGGTATAACAAAATCAAACAGATGCAAATGGTCTTTTATTCTTTTATATAAAGGTTTAGCAGAATTGTGATTTGCATTAAGGTTTGGGAAATTATCAGTAAAAGTATTTCTATAGACAGGATTTTTTACATTACCCTTAATTTTTGTTGCATACGTTAGACTAAGGTAAGCTCTTCTATCATTTAACGACAATATTCATTTGCTTCGCAAAGTAAAATTTCAATCGGTGTTGTACAAAAGGCTCCCAAACATATTCTGAGTGCTGTGTTGTGAATAGTGTCCAGCTTTTTAAGTACTGATTTCGATGCTGAGTCGTAAGCTATAGCCGCGTAGTCTAGCTGTGATCGTATAATAGTTCTGTATATAATTAACAATGTACTCCTGTCTGAACCCCAATTCTTATGTGCTAGAATTTTTAGTAAATTTAATCTTCTGTAACATTTACATGTTAAATTATTGATATGTTCTTTCCAATTCAACTTTCTGTCAAAAGTAACTCCTAGTAATTTTAGCGAATCTTTTTGTTGTAGTGATTGGTTATATAGATATAATGAGATTGGTGTACTGACTTTGTTTTTAGAAAATACCATATATTTAGTTTTAGTTGTTGAAAAGATAAATCCAGTTTCCTGTGACCATTTTTCAATATCTAACAAGAAACTCTGTGCAAGTTGTGAGAGGTTGTTTAAGTTTTTGCTTTAACCAAATATTACGAGATCATCAGCATATAAGCGACCTTTAAGTGGAAGTTTTAAATTTCGTAGAACA